AAAAGGCCCGCATAGGAATGGTTAATACGCTGGGTTTCATCGAGCTTGACTCTTCACTGGATAGGACCGTAGTATGGTATTATAGGGGGAATACTGACAACTGTCTGAGCTATCCAGCGTTTTTAGACTCGATAAAACTCGAGTTGGTTAATAAAATCAAAGATTGCGTGCGTATTAACCCTATAAAATATCATTTGAAGTTGGAGAGTATATATACATGCATAGGGAATTACCAACCGATGATAGAGCATTTAAAACCGTGTCGAGAGAGGTATATATCCATAGCGACGGCTTGCTGTTAGGTATCTATGAACATACCCCTCTTGGAGGCTGTTCGTATATTCCACTATCCGCACTCGGTTACGATAAGGAGTCAATAACGGTGAACCCCAACACTGAGGAGAACTATATATCGTTCTCGAAGCGCGTCATGCCCGACTTTAGTGTGAGGTTCTTGGACTCATGACGGTTCATATAGCCTCAAGCCTGGCCAAGTTGGCGGGGAACCTCCTCACGAAGCCCGGTGAGTTTGAGAAGTTCCGCGAGACCGCCGAGGTGTTCCAGCCCGCCGACATGACACTAGTCACGCGAAAGGGCGTGTTTCCTTACGAGTATACCGACAAATRGTCGAGGCTCGAGGAGACCGCACTACCACCGAAACGCGAGTTTTATAGCATGTTACTGGAGAAGAATATTAGTGACGAGGACTATGTACAAGCGACGGAGGYGTGGTGTCATTTCAAGTGTCCAACCCTCGGTGACTACAGTGACCTATACCTTAACATCGACTTTCTCCTTCTGGCCGACGTGATGGAGAATTTCCAYGACTTCTGCCTACTCAACCTCGACCCCGTGTATTATTATACGGCGCCGGGGCTTACGTTTGACGCGATGTTGAGGTATACGGGCGTCTCACTGGAGTTACTTACCGATTACGATATGGTACTCTTCGTGGAACAGGGTATAAGAGGGGGGTTGGTCCAGGCCAGTGAACGGTACTGTCGGGCAAGCAACCACAAGRCGCCGGGATACGATGCTGAGAAGCAACCGTCGTGGCTCGTCTACCAGGATTGTTAACATACARCGCTTATACTATTAATTATATCACTAACTATAAAACCATCTTATAGGCAACAAYTTGTACGGGCACGCCATGGGGGAATATATGCCCTACGGAGGGTTCAAGTGGTACGAGGGTGATTTGGATCGCTCTCTAGAGCTGTTAGACGGTATGACTGATAAATCCGACGTTGGACGTATCTACGAGGTTGATATCGCTTATCCCGACAACCCACATGTCACGCACAACGATCTCCGCTTCTTACCACGGAATGCTGTACCCCCTGGCTCAAAAGTGAACAAATTAATGGCTACGTTGGAGTGGAAAGAGAGATACATATTGACATATTGTTCACTATCGTAATTTAAAGCAGGCCATTGCTAATGGTTTGATAGTGGAAAAAGTAATAGATAATACATGTTTTTATAACCTAAGAAAAAAAAACCTTTATTAACCTCGATAAATTACAGGTTCATATAGGGTTTTGAAATTCCATCAGTCGGCATAGCTTGCTAAATACATACGGAAATGAGGAGGAAGGCCAGCAATGAATTTGAACGCGGTTTTTTTAAACTGCTGAACGACGCTGTTTTTGGTAAATATCTCAACGATATAATATAATCATTATTACACAGTCATTGTACTATATTATTATTTGAATTTCCGGGGAAACTATGGAATGCGTTAGAAATCGTATTTCCATGGAATTGGTGTCCTGCCCACRACGAATGCGTAAACTTATAAGTAAACCCACGTTCAAACACGTCACCACGTACACCGATAATCTGGCCGYCGTATCCATACAAATGACTGACATACATTTTTCCAAGCCTATTTACRCAGGGTTCGCCGTCCTGGAAATAAGCAAGGAGTTAATGTATGACTATCATTACAATTTGATGCGGCGGCATTACAACGATTCGATTAGACTGATGTATATGGATACAGGTATTTACGATACAATAAATATTATTTACACTCATATATCTAACGTGAGTAATACCTTTATAGATTCCCTGGTGTATCGAGTGCACACTAAAGATTTTTACAAGGACCTGGTGGACAACCCCACGCTCCTCGAACGGATGGACACCCCGAATCACCCCGTCACACACCCGTGCTACGACGGTACGCGTAAGAAGATCCCTGGACTGTTCAAGGACGAGACGGCGGGCCTACCGTACCATGTACGATGAGTTCATTGCACTCAGGGTGAAATCTTACGCGTACAAAATCGAAGGGGACGAAAAACTCGTGATCAAGGGGATTTGAGGACATGTGGTCCGAAATCACTTGACGTTCGAGGACTACAAGCGCTGTCTGTTCGAGGTTGACGACGACGCTGGTGACGGTGCTGAGAGTGAGGAGGTGGGTGA